CCCCAAAACCCCAAAACCCCAAAACCCCAAAACCCCAAAACCCCGAAATTAGTACAAAAATTGAATAAATATTATAAATGTCAAACATCCATTCAGGAAAGAGAAGCCCTAGCTGTGACTTTAATGATATTGATGAAGGAGAAGGCAACGAAATCGCAACTCCAGTAAACCAGTCAACCACCAAGATGGATGTAGAGACTTTGCTTAAGAAATCCCAACAGTTTAGAGATGAGATTGACAGAAAAAGGGCTCAGATTGAAACTTCTCCTCCAAGAGTACAGGAGTTCAGGAGGGAGCTCTCGCCCCAACATGATACAAGAAGCGTTCCTTTAGATTACAATGAGAGGTCGAATGACGATAATTCAGATCTTCAGTTTAAACGAAAATATACTGAACAAAATTCGAATGAAATCGTTATCCAAGAAAATCAAAGCAAATGAAATACATATGATTACAATAGTAGTAATAATCAAAATATAAGGAAGAACTTTGAAGTGTCGAGTGACAGAATCGACTCTCAAAACTACTATAAGGGTTACATGCAGTCCAATCTCCTTAACACTCCTGATGGGGATACTCAGAACATAAGCAAGTCAAAGAAGAAGGTTTCCATTAGTATGAACGAAACCCCGGGAAATTTTATCTCCAGATACAAGAATAAAATGCAGAGGAAAAACAATGTCTCTCCACCATTGCATGCTAAAGGAAGAAGTAGCATAATGGCTTCCCCTAAAACTGCTTTATCCAATAGATCAACAACTACAGTTAAGAGTTATAATTTTAGGATTGGTCATTCGAACAAGAGCAATAGGTTTACTGGGACTTCACCTAGAAATCCTTACTACAAAAAGAAATCTAGAGCTGCTACTAACGAAGGATATGCAGCCGCTCTGCAAAAGGAATATCAACACGAGCAGTTCCACATGCAGACAATTTCGAAACTGATGAAAGAAATTGAAGATATTAAGATGCTTTACCAGTCAAGAGAGGAGAAACTTAGCAATGAAATTGCCCAAGAAAGAGAAATGTTCAAACTCACTCTTGCGAACAAAGATCAGAAAATTAAAGACCAGGAGGCTAATATTCACATGTTAGAGACCCTTGCTCAGGAGACTGAGTCCACTGGCAAAACTAAGGTCGAGCATTTCGAATCCACAATTCAGGAATGTGTCAAGAAGTTACAAGATGAACAGTCTATTAATCATCAGTTAAAATAATGAGAATAATACATTGAAGATACAAATCGGTCAACTACAGAAGACAGTTGAGGGACAAAAAGCTGCTCACGAGAGTTTAAGAAATCAATTAGCCGAAGTTTACAAAGAAAAGCAGAGAGAGTCTCAACAGCAACAGAACTATAACTACGTTCCTCAGACTAGAGATAATATTGACGAAAGGCCAAAGAGTTATTCTCATCAAGTGAATAAGAAGGAGCCTGAGCCTGAGAAAATTCCAATGACTAGCAGGTGGGCTAAACCAGTGAGTGAGATAACAAATCCTGCTGCTCCTTCTAGTACTAGCACTCCGAGGCCAGATGGGTATGGTTATAAGAGCTCATTTACAAGAAATCCTAATAAGGAAACATGTATGATGGAGAAGTATTGCTCAAATTCGATCGGACAAATTCTTAACTGGGGGCAATAGTCATGGAGTATTTAAAACAATAAATTTTTAATTCAACATGAGGCAAATAAAATGGGGTTTTGGGGTTTTGGGGTTTTGGGG